AACAGTAAAAGTATTAAGTACCTATAAAACACTGTCACCCATTGAATAGCTTTAGATGAGCTCTGGATGTTACCTCAAAATTGTTGTGAAGCTCTTAATGTTGATACATGAAACAATTGCCTCATCAAATAGAGTTGCAGTCCCGAGCTATTTGATATAGAAATGATTGAGAAGTTGTTCTGTACCAGCAAATAGAACAGCTACGTACTTAAAATTTTATGTTAGCCTATTATCGGGCTGCATCCAAGTGGATCAAATTTACTCTTGATAATAGAGAGCGAGTCCGTTCAAAATTTTGGAGAAAAGAATGACACGAAAACAGCTTCTTCTTACCTCCAGATGCGGTGATCTGAGGTTAGACACAAGTTCTTCCCAGGGTGTTTCGAAGCGTCGCATGATCATATGTGCCGCTAATTTTTGTACTGATTCAAAGCGAGCTTGTCTATTAGCAAAGTTATTATTCTGTAATGCGCAGGCGTAATCCATCTTACTCAAAACACATGCCTTATATACCTGAATTCGTATGGAAGCGAGTGCGTCTTTTAATTGACGGTACGTTGCACCTAGGCATTGCCTGCAAGATTTTACTAGATCGTCAGCGTGCCATTCCATCAAATTTTCAATTCTATTGAATTGAAAATTTACGCTTTATTGGCTGGAAAACAAACATTTAAGACATTTGATAGAATTTAAGGACATGAAGTTTAACTACACCAGTCGCATATTTTATCGATATTGTCTTGACAAAATTGTGGTAGATACACAGAAGTAACGAGATAAATGAACGTACAATCATCAGTACAATAAGTTATATCAGCGGATAATTGTACAATGGAGTCCATTGTGTAATTACTGTCCAATGGAAGGTAACTCATTAATAAAACTAAGGAACAAAAGTGTCCCTAGCACTGAGCCCTGAACCACGCCAATGTTAAGAATGTAGGATAAGAGACAGAGGAGCCTACTTGAACTTGCCGAGAGTGGTCGCTAAGATAATTCGTGAACCACTACAGCTAAACGATTGAAAGCCCTAGTGTTCACAGTCGAGGGATAATAGTTTGGCGAGGAACCTTATTAAAAGATTTTTCCATATCGAATGTAGCCAGAATGCTGTACACTATTTTTTGCTAATTTGAAAAGATATGAGCATTTTAGCTCAGTTACTTAGAGAGACACGTTAAGAAACATCATGTCACGAATTCAATTCAAACACTTACGTTGATACGGTATATATCAGTGCATAAAAATTGTGTTTTTCTTTTAATTTAGAATCGTCATCCGTATCCAACCAAACAAGATCAACGTTTTCTTCGTTAGCTAAAGAATGTGAATTTCCAGATAATTTGTATTATATTTTATTTTCATCTATCTTATCATTTTATCTACCGTTAATCGTTATGGTTTATGTTTACTATCAGATATATTCTGCAGCTAAAAAACAAGTATTAGCACTCCGTTCTGGTTACAAACACCATCATTTAAAAACAGTATCAGACTCATTAATTCCAAAATTCCATTTGAAACAAATTTCAGTTGCAGAGAGAATGAGGAAAGCGAAATCAATATTAGTTTGCGAAAATGACTTAGATAAAAAATTAGAGATGTTATCAGAAAATTGTAAGCCGTCACCTGAAATAATAACACTTCGTATTCATTATGGTAGATATCAAAAACTAAATATAGAGAATTTTAGCCAGAATGATCGAAGTAGCAACAAACCACAATCAAATTTAATCAAAAGAAAATGCGTACAAACAAATTTTTGGAAAAAGTTTTCTAAAGATCAAAAAGCCGCTAAATTTATAGGCATTGTGATGGGTGTATTTGTTGTTTGTTGGCTACCATATTTTGTTTACGTCATGCTCAGCTGTGTATTTTTTTTCCGTTTAAAAGACGAAAAAAATCACGAACTGTTGATTGGAATATTTTCGTGGTTAGGATATACCAATTCAGCATTGGACGTTCTTGTTTATGTGTTCAGCTCAAAAGAGTTACGAACCACATTTCTTAAATTATTCTGTAGATCACGAGTTTAAATAAAGATAAATCGAAGCAATCCATATACTGAATCTGTTCAGCACACTATACACTTTCAAGATCCCTTCCACATTTGAAAAATAAAGAATTTTCGGCGCTACAAGATTCAGCAATTGATCCTTGACGGCTGTTCATCTTCAATACCTGCTCACGGGTCCAATTGGATCAACTAGGAAAGGTATTGAAAGGTTCGATGGTTTTTGTTTGGTTTAGACTTGACTAGATGTGCCCTCAAACTATGTCAGTTTGCACAGGACACCTGATTACATATATCTTTCAGTTTTTTCGATGAACTGATAATTATTCACAGAGTTAATTAATTAATTTTAAATTTTAAAGAAATTTCGATTTCGATGGTGTTGTAAAATAATTCATTATATTTTATTGGAATGTCCAATCAACGTCGTGGTAGAGTTAATGTAACGGAATTTCAAGAAAAAATTTTGAACAAAAGTTACATGAAAGTTAAAATATTTTTAATTTTAAAAATTTTTAATTAATAATTTTTTGAATTTTTCTCATTAGAAAAAAGAATGTTCCGCTTATTCCACGTAGAATTTCATAGGGAGCAACTTTTGTTCCAACAGTTTTTATGAGATATGCTTTGCGTACTCACAATCCACATGCAAAAACATCACTAACATTGTATGTTACTTTTCTGAGAACGGAGCTGGTTTTTCAAAGATTCTCTGGAAAATCGGACTTTTGAACCTGTTCAAAACTGGTTTTTCGTTAGGAAAAGTTGGTCTTAAGCATCTGCTTTCGATTACTGAAAACCACAGGTCGTTATATATCAAGATGACAGAGTTATCTACAAAGTGGTACCCTGTCTTGCATTTTGGAACGGATAGTAGTTGCTCATTCTTGTACCGTATGCTAACCAATCAAATTCTCTCTTTGAACTTCATGTGAAGCAACGGAAACGGATAAAAAAGGCGTTATTTATTTTATTAGTATCAGTGCTCAAACCTAAGTTTCTTGCACAAGATTGACAGATATTTCTTGATCAATTTAATGATTTCAACATAAAAACAAATTATTTTTCGTAATCAAGATCTTTTTCGTGCTTTAAGATCAGATCCACCGACAGACGAAATCTGTTTAGAAGAAAAATTCTGTTAGAAATCCTCGCTTCGGAATTTACACAGCTCGTCAAACGTGGAGAAATAACAGAAGGAATAGAAAGATCTTGTCGCTTCTCACAGAAGGAATCTTGTCGCTTCTCAATTCTGAAATAATATTTTTTGAAAATCAGTGACTTACAAAAAAGAAAATCAGAACTCCTCAACGCTGTTTCGATTGCTAAGTCATTTTTCTAGTCATCATCTTTCTTCCAGTTTTCAATAATATATTTCGCTACATTCGCTTTCTCAATTCTTATTGTTTTCTGTTGATATAGCGTTCGTATTTCAATTAGTTGTAATGCTCTTTCCCACAACAAAATCTCATTTAAATTACCACTTTCTTGATAACTACTATGTAGTAACAGGCCGTTAATAGCCAATTAACCACCCGTTTTTAGGTGGTTTTTCAGTACGTTATGCCAGAGTGATTTTAGAATGATTTTGAATGCTTCATGACTCATACATATTAGATGCTTCAAACCGTAAACAGGTCGTTAACGGACAGTTAACGGACCGTTTTCAGTACTTTATGCTAGAGCAGTTTTAGAATGATTTTTCAATGTTTCATGACACATAGAGTACTTCGGGGTAATTAGAGACATTCTTTGAAATTTTCATTCCATTTTTGCTATTTCTTGGCCGTTATTGATCGGAAAAACTTGCTATTGAACACGGTGGTAGACCAAACATTTTTTCGCATATATTCACATAAAAATCTTTTGAAAATGTCCGATGAGTTTGAGCCAGATCCAAAAGGTGAAGATCTCTATCGAAGTGTATGACACTTCACTTGTACGCTTGGGCTAAATAGAGACACTCCATTGAAATACATGGAGTTTTAATGTACAATTGTTAGTTAATTAAGCTTAGGAGATAATTAGTTCAAAAATACCTCATTTTATAGCCCCGATCTTCCTATCTCTACCATAAACTTTTGAGCTCATTATCATTTAAACTCATTAAGCTAATTGACATATAATCAACAGAACTAGAAATTGAAGAAAGAAACGACCTGTTTACGGTTTGAAGCATCTAATATGTATGAGTCATGAAACATTCAAAAATCATTTTAACTCTAGCTTAAGTAAACGGTTCGTTAACTGCCCGTTAATGACCAGTTAATGGCAAATTTCTTTGTGGATAATAAATGGTCTGGAAACGTTCAGAACAGTCAGTAAACCGTGACTGTTAACTATTCGACCGTGAAACGGCCGCACTAAAAACGGGGAGTTAACGTCTTGTTTACTGGCCGTTTTGAGAACGTTGACGCGCCGTTTTTTTATGTGACCGTTTACTGGACATTAACTGGCAGTTAACGGGTATTCTTTTTGGACCTGGGCTTTTTTTCAGACTTCTGTCAAAACGCTGTGTTTGTATTTTACTATTAATCTTTAATTTCTATGACAACTTTTTTTAAATGAAGCAGAACTGTTGGTTAGTTTGTTACTGGAGGCGAAGCTCAAGAGCAACAGTGAATATTATTAAATAAAAAGAGTATTAAATAAACTAAAATAGCTCACTGAAGGAAAAAATCAATATATTACGAACTATTCTTTCCTTTCACAGTTTTTGAGAATTTATGCCATTTATACTAAGAACTGAATTTCTCGGGAAAAGGAGAAACACATAATGGTATGCAGTCTATGTGCTATAAAATCAAGAAAGCAAGAACCTTTCAGGCTAAAGGCTAAAGGTTTATAAACAGTCTTCAGATGTCGATTTAAATACTACATCTGAAAGCTTATGTTCTCGATTTTAATCACATTTTAGTTTCCGCTTTTGCTGAAACCATTCCATATGCCGATTTAAAATGATTATATTCTTCTTATATTCTTGTAACTATGCATGAGTTTCTGGTAACAGGTTTACCGCCTCTCGGTAATTTCTTAGAGCTTCATTAAATTCGCCTTTATCGAAACACAAACCACCGATATTATTATGAATGGCTGATAGACCTTGGACATTTTCGATACCACTTTCTGAATACAAATCGAGAGCTTTTTGATAATTTTCAGATGCTTTTTCAAAATCACGCATTTTATGATACATATATCCGATATTATTATAAATTGTAATTTCAGAAGGATATGTAGCAGTTAATACTATTAATATGACTTTATCGTTTTGTGATGTTGTTGTTGTTGTAGCAGATGAATGATTACTATTATTACCATAATTAGGATAATTGGCTTCGATAAAGTCCTGAGCTTGTTTAAATGATTTTAATGCTGCTTTGGGATCTCCCTTTTTATATTTAGCTAATCCAATACTATTGTACAATATTCCTCGTCGTTTATCTACCGATGAGAGTTCATTGAGCATTTCTTTAAAGTAGTACTCCGCTTTATCATATTCCTCAATCTTAAGTAAGAAATCTCCTAATGTTAACAAAGTGCATTGTTCATCGATTTGTTTATTTAATTGATTTATTAGTTCGACAGATTTTAATTCATTATTGCCACTTAATTTCAAATATATGCTCCATAAGCGCAAATCTTCATTATACTTTACAGATTTAATACGCCAAACTGTTCCTGCTGAAAATAGAATTTCCTGCTCCTCTGGAAATTGACTTCTGTGCGAAATATCAGCAAAGGGCTTTATATCGGTGTCATTTGAATCACTATTAAGGTCCAATTCAAATAACACCCGTTCGCGTTCTTGGCCTTCTCCTGCATAAACTTCACTAGCAACCTGCCAACTAGTCGACGTAGATAGAAACGCGTTCATTGAGATAAGACCGCCTTGGTTATCAATTAAATTTTGTAGGACAGATATAGATATTTTCTTTCCACGATAGACCTTCAGAATTTTCTCGGTACGTTTGTAATGAAGTTCAACTAATTGATTATGAAGATCGACAATAAACAAACGAAATGGAATGATAGAATGAATATCTTGCGTTAGAAGTGATTTGCTCACTAGGTGAAATAGAAACGAATCCCTTGTATACCACCATATTGCTTGGTCAGTTTCGTACGTTTGCTGAAATTCGTCAATTTTTTGTAATTGAGTACTATTTGTTTCGTATTCTGATCGACATTTTTCTATCATTGCTTGTGTTGTTTTGTTCGTATGTTCCATACGAAGTAAAATTTTAATGAATACTTGAAACCATATAAATGCGATTGAGTCTCTACTTAGATTTCTTATCGAATTTTCTGTTACGTTTGAAGTAAACATATTAATTAGCAGTGGTGTACGATAGAGACGATTTTCAGAATCATTACTATTTGGCCGTTTCCCATCGGTACTAAAGCTGCATGTCCTTGTTTCTTCATCGTCGTAAGCCTTAAGATCAGTAGTTAATTTAGGAAAAAGATCATTTCCGTCACCAAAAACATGACATTTTGTAGAATAATCAGCTATCCATTGTTGATCAGTATTTTCTTTCGGACAGTATACGTAAATATGCAATATATTTAGCAGCTCTTCATAAAGAATAGGAATAAGGTATTTAGCGTCCGAATGCGATATAATAATAAAAAATTTGCCACTTTCACTTAGAGTAACGTAACTAATTAAATCACACCATTTTTTAAATGTTTTGAAGCAATTAAAGATCTGACACAGACTATTCTTAATGATTAAATAATCGGTCGATTTTTCATTTGTTTCGTCATGCAACCAAATACCGATGTAATTCTGATGCATCAATTCACAGTTGAGTGTGAATCTTAGAAAAATAAGATTCTCAACCTGATGAAAAACCATTGGTTTTTGTGGACTAATCTCACAATGGAAATTCGAGAGAGGACCATAAGTCACTTTTCTGTTGATCAGAACCAGACTTACCAAAAGCTTGTTTTTACCTCATCAGTGTTGATCTAAGCTAAGGTGTTGGCAATTGAAAAATCGAACAGAACTTTTCCACTATTTTTAACTCGATTTTTAGTCTAATGCTATACGACTGTAACGATTTTGAATAATAAATAAAATTGCACAAATTGAATGTCAATAGATAGGTTAGAAAACTAGGTTAACAAAATCCAGAAAAAGAAAGGTATAGGTGCATGTCTTAATCCCAAAAATATATCAACGACAAAAGTGTTCCTCGCGTTGTAAAAAACCGAATGATCTAGACATTTAAATTGCAGGTTACTTGCATCATACGTACCTCCCCGTAATATTATTGTCGTTTGCCATTACTATGAGGTGTTTTCTTTACAACGAGGTATCTCACACCGTATAATTTGAAAATTTTCTGATCTAAAATTTTTTGAAATGGAAGAATACATTTAAGTTATTTTTTACCTTATTGATGCGCATCCTTAAAATGCTTCGTTAAAATTATATGAAACCCATTTCGCATGTTCAGCGACGTCACTTTTGAAGACAAATGTTTGCTTGATATTTTCAGATAATAAACTTGCAGAATATTATCGAAATTTGAGAGAATTTTGAAAATTTTCAAAAGTCTGGCCTTTAAGCGCTTTAGAAAACTTTTTCAAAATTGCTCAAAAATTATAGATATATGATCGCTTAGGATGAATTCTGAAAGTAGACACCAAAGACTATCTAAGCATATGCATAACTTTTTATGCAACTTTTACAGAAAATTCAAATTTCCTAGGGGATCTTAGTTTCATTCGCTTCGTAGCTTAACTTTCCAATTTCTTTATTTTCACTCTGCTTTTGACTTGAGACATCGTGCCTTCAACGTACTTCTAACCGAGCGCCGTTGGTTACTGCCATTTTTTCAATCTTCTTTCTAATGTTTTTGCTTTTCCCTTCGACACATTCATTTCTCTACTTACTTCTTGTCATATTCTTACATAAGTCACGAAGGAATATTTATTTGTTAATGTTATTAATATTTACTCACACCATGACTACAGCTCGAAAATTAAATGAATTTATATAGAAGAAGAATCGCAGTCAGGTAAAAATAAATATTCTTACATAATTCTACATACAATAGAGAAAATGAATGCGTTGAAGGAAGAAGCAAAAACCTTGGAAAGAAAAATGAAAAATGCCAGAAACTAACGGCGCTCGGTTTGGAGTACGTCGAAGGCACGATGCCTCAAGTAACGTATTTGTGAGGTTACTAGCACTATGCATTGATAAAATATGTCAAAAATCTTGTTATATTTTTTCAGAGAACGCTTTGTTTGTTGATCCAAACATGCCCAATGTGCAGCACTTTCGCAAATAATGGTTTAGCTTAGAGAGACATGTGTTTTAATTGGAAGGGCGAATCGTTCTTCATGGGCCGATGAAAGCCGGGTTTTGACTTAGACCTTAGTTGTTCCGAAAATTAAAATAAAACCAACTCGAAATATCAAGCTTGAAGAATATGAAAAAAAGTATTGCACAGTGAGGGATTCACATTTTTAGGGTTGCGGAAAGTTTCATCAAAATCACATGTAAGATAACAAAGTTTTTCCCTGAAGGGTTCTCCTTAATGATAACGATACGAGAAGTATAATTTCTAAGTATAAATGTGGATATAGCTCATAGAATTTTTCAATTTTAAAGAAGAATTTTAGTTGCTCAAGATCAAGAAAAGCTCATTCCATATATCATTACCGAAGACTTGCAAGCTACTTGACATTATATTACTGGCGGCTAAACAAGTAATTGTCTAATTTATTTATTGTTTTAGATCAATCATTTTATGCTATGTTACAATTATAAGATACGAGCATGGAGGAAGATTACATTATTATAGGTCTCAATGTAAATGACAGAAATGAATTACATAGTAGTATTAAAAATTATGAACCGTTTAATAGTGTACATAAATGTATTACATATATAACTTCTATTCAAAACAAACATATCTATTTCATCACATTTTCATCATTGAATGAATTTCTTATTCCTCTCATCTATACAGAAAAACAAATTTTATATATTTATGTATATTGTACAAACGAGACTGAGTCAGAAAAATTATGCTTAAAAAATGATTCAAAAATTCGTATATTTACAGACAGGAATGATTTATTTGCTAAATTGAATTACGATATTACGGTATATTCCAAGCGATTATCACAATGGCATTCAATAAAACATCATTTAACACATAATTACCAACAGAGTTTAAGTTCAATTGATTGTACCATATCAGCGGAGTCGCACACAACCATTGAAGAAAATATAAAAGTCATTTTATTCAATGAGGATAGAATCAGTGAGCTAGCCGATGCACTAACGTTTCAACTAGAGTACAAGAATATTGATTTAACAACGTTTGACAACATTGATCAATTAATTGCATTTGTAAGTAACCAAAAAGACCGCCTATTTCTCGTTACATCTAGTTTCAATTTAATTCCTGTTGTACATTCACTATTCCAAATCCAATTTATTTACTCATTTACTTCCGATTACGATAATAGTGAACAAAAGCAATTGTCCATAAAGTACGAAAAAGTTCGAGGATCATTTAATGAAATAAAAGCTCTAATACAAAAATTAAATGTAGATATTACACAGCAATTAAATAATTTATTTGAGATACCATCAATATTTGTCTATAAAAAGCTTGATTTAGAAGAGATATCACTTAAAAATCTGAACGAACGACAAATATCGTTTGTGTGGTCTCAGTTATTAATTAAAATCCTACTCCAACTGCCTGAAACAGAAGGACATGCAGATGATTATATGAGAACAGTATCTCATGTGCAATACAAATATATTGAACTAATACCGAAAAGAATTGATATACTCGATACAAATTACTCTTCTCAAGAAGCAATATGGTGGTATATATTCGATTCGTTTCGATTTCGTCTTATAAACAAAGCATTTCGAACAGAAAATATGGATCGTATATTGAAGTTCCGATATTTTCTAACTGATGTTCATAATCACTTACGACAATTACAGTGCACATCATCGTCTTCAAACAAAACGAATTTTATTGTTTATAGAGGCCAGTTAATGTCACCCGATGAATTACATATGATAAAAGACAGTATAGATGGATTCATAACAATGAATACGTTTCTTTTAACAACTAAATCATATGATACTGCTCGTATTTTTGCAGAGAACAGTTCAGATTGCCTGGATTATGAATCTGTTTTGTTTGAAATCACTATCGACACAAATGTTTTTGTTACTCCTTATGCTACTATTAATACTATAAAGGATTGTCAAGATAAAGATGTAATCATGTTTTCCCTTGGTACAGTATTCCGAATACGGTCTGTCGAATTATTCATGAGTAAAATTTGGTATATACGACTAATATACACCAAAGAAGAAAATGATGAGTTACAATCGTTAAACGAACGTTTTCAGAATGAAATTGGAGCGCCACTTACGATTCTAACCTTTGGAAATTACCTGAGTGCATTGGGTAAACACAGTGAAGCTGAAATATATTATACAGAACTTCTTCGGAATGATCCTTCTAACAGTACAATATTAACTAATTTAGGAAACATGAAAGAAAATCACCTGGAAGCAGAAAAATATTACCAGTTAGCAAGAGAAAACGTAGGATCAGATGGAAATAGCGGTGTATTGACTTGTGCTACTACATCACAAAGCGTATGTTCTAAAGGTCAAATACAGTTTTGTCCACTAGATGATGATGATCCGTCGGCTGTATATAATAATATAGCAAGTATCTATTATAGTGAGGGCAAGTATGATTCTGCATTAGATTACTATAAAAAAGCCCTTGAAATTACTTTAAAATCCTTTCCTAACAATCATAATTATGTGCTGATGTATGAAGATATGATAGCAACAATAATGATTCAACAAAGAGATACGACTAAATCGCAGTGCGCGACCATGTGGACATTAGGTGAAAAAATGAAAGTGAGTTTTTCAAAAATTTGAATAGTGTCAAGTATACTTTAACTGATGGCCTATTTAATGGCATAAAAATATTTGTTCCAGCTTTTGTATTAAAGGGGAAAAACTAGCACGAAAACGAGGACAAAAAACGTAGAGTGTACCGAAGCATAAGATTTGTTATAAATTGTACACACTGTTTATGGACAAATCATACATATTCTGAAACTAGACCTCGTGACCTGTCGACGGAAGCAGCTTTTTGAATTTAGACCTTAGTTGTTCGGAAAATTAAAAGAAAACTAACCCGAAATATCAAGCTTGAAGAATATGAAAAAAAGTACCGCACAGTGAGGGATTCACATTTTTAGGGGATCAAGATTTGCGGAAAATTTCATCAAAATCACATGTAAGATGTCTATCGATTCATACAATACATTTTTTTCTGGAGACTTTTCAGTCAGAAAAAATAATTTTCTTTGTACGCAAATGGTTTTTCCAAAAGATGTGTTCAGTATAGTGGGTTTTCACAATTTTCCATTGCTGAAAAATTAGCTCAAAATTTCACAGTATGTTCTTCTACTCATTATACATGTGCATGGTTAGCATAAATGGTTCTGGACCGAGTTATAGGTTTTTCAAAGCCCTTGATTTTTGAGGTAAAATATATTTATTTCCGTTAGGAACTACTTTGAAAGAAAAAATAATGACATATTTGGAATCAGCGCACGAAACTACATCGAACAATATGTAAATTGCAAGTTTTTCTGTAGAAAACTTACCGATCTAACGGGATCCTACAGTTGACCTATTACTGTGGCAAATTTTGGCTGGCGTTTAGATATTTATTTTAGCAGCTGTGCAAAAGGCTATAAATACTGTTTTTTTAGCTACTTTAGAAATGCTTGCTTTTTGGTTTGTGACAAATGCTCAAAGCAGGAAAAAATGTTTTTATAGTAGAGATTTTGTGGTGACGAACACTACACAGCATAAATTCCTATACTTACATTAAGTTTGGTTTACTCTTTTTTCTAGCCACAAGCAATGTCAGAAAATATTGGAACTGTTATTGGAGGATTGCCTAGGAGCGGTAAGTTTTTGTGGCAATTACCACGGGTTATTAGTATTCCAAAAATTCTAAGGAATATTTTGTTGATAGTGAATGAACAAGAATATTTCGAGTTATTTGAAAGCAGTGACTGTAAGTTGTTCGTTAACTTTTTGTAGAAATGAGGATTTCTAAGAAACCCTCCAAGGATTTTTCAGACTTTAAAGTTCTATTAAGCACTAGAAATCAGTAAATAAGAAATTGAAAAGTCGGACTCTGTCAACTCCAGCCATAGGTGTTTACTGCAAAACAAAAGAATCCCGAGCTCTCTATCATTTACCTGGAATAAGAATTCTTGCACGTGGTAGACGCTCAGTTTTATCCCTTGTTGTGGCACGCTCTCGCGAACACTTGTAAGTGGCGTGTAAGTGGGGGGTTTAATGGGAAAAGAGCTCCACATCTTCTATGTGTGTTTCGAAAAAGCGTTTTTTCCAATTTCAGGCATAAAAGCTAATGTTTTGAAAAGTTTGCCATTGATTGTGCATTAACAAGAAACTTTCAAGAAAAACATTTGCTACAAAAATTCTAGCCTATGTCATTCGGCATGGCATAAGCGGAATGGAATTTAATTAAAAAAATTGAATAGAAGTTAAATTAAAATTTAAAATTATAAAGTATTTTAATTAATAATTCTTTTAAAATTTTTGCTATTAGAAAAGAAAAACAGTTCCGCTTATGCCAATGTCGGATGACATAGGCTAGAATTTTTGTAACAAATGTTTTTCTTGAAAGTTTCTTGTTAAAGCACGATCATTGGCAAGGTTTTCAAAACATTAGTTTTTATGCCTGAAATTACAAAAAGCGCTTTTTTTAGAATGTTTTACTTAAAAATCGATCTTATTATAGAATTTTTCAACCTCGTTTTAGTCTTCTAGGAAAATTTCTCTGTGCAAAAAAACTGATAAATCTAAAACAATGTAACCTTTGCTGTAACAATGTAATCTTGCTGATGAGAAAAACTGGCAATCGGTTTTAAATATATCTAAAAGTTTTAGGCTTTTAAGTTTTTAAAAAATCGTTTTTCTTCAGATGTTTAAACTTAAATTGAATTTTTCCTATACTGTATCTAAATACTCAAAAGAGCTCTCTACACGACCATATCCTCAGATTCGTTCTAGCTACTTTCGTTCAGGATAAAAATCAAAAGTGTTTGCCTCCACTTTACCAGCTATTATTAGTAAAATGCTCACATATCGTGGACGTCACAAACTCTCTACTAAACCTTTTCTACTAGTAGATTAAGGGGGGTTGTCCTCCCTCAAACATACCTTCAGACCTGGTCAGTTTGTAGAGAACAATTTCAGTGGTATGCCTATGGAATAAAACAAAATTTAGTTAAGGATTGACTGTGTTACTAACGCGATAACTGACAAATAAAATTGTAAGGCATTATACTGACGCTAATTAGCATTGATTAGCACTTATTAATTATAACCTAATACTTTAATTTTAGTTACTAAAAATTCTCAATCAATTTTAGTCTATGAAACGGACATATTGGATTGTATTGATGCTCTAAATAAGTGGAATTATGACAATATGCTTGATATAGTCGAATATTATAGAGAAACTTTAACCATAAATAAACAAATATCCGATAAAAATGTGAGAGAAAAATCCGAATTACTTATCAAACAATTTAAATTATTAACATATGATAAGCATGGTGAGGCATTTTTAAGACCGGCTGTTTCACGTATCATTCTATTAATTCTTTGTCATTTTAAACGCTCTTATATGTGCAATGATACTCTTTTCCCAGCTTATTTGCCGAAGTTCCGACCATTGTCGAATATCATGAATATTCATCAAGAGATTAGTTATGCTTACTGCTATCTATTAGCAGCAATTGATATTGAATTAGATAGTACATATAAAATAATCAATGATATTCGTTTTTATTATATAATGAGCCCTGCTGTTAAAAATAGTTTATTTACAGTATATGAAACAATGTTGGATCATGAAGAAAACTTGACATTGAAAGAATTCTTTAAACGGCTAGAAGAGTGCTATTATTTGGAAACACATCAGCGTACATTTGTTTCAATAATCAAAGATTTCAACGAATTTATTGAGAGATATGAATATTTTCTTAATAACTATTTAGACTTTCTCAACAATGACTCATCTGGAACATTTAATCTTGAAAAATTGAGCATAGCAATGCCACGTACAGATTATTTAGATAAGGACAAGGTGCGTGGTTTATGTGTGATAATTAATTTTGTTAACATCGTTTCTAAACCAATACGTCATGGTTCAAAAAGAGATGTTCAGTTATTGACAAATTTATTTAAAGAAATGAATTTTATTGTCAGAATATGTAAAGAAGATTGTAACAAAAAAGAATTAGATAGAGATTGATATCAAATCAAATCCTGATTATCGTCAATATGCGAGTTTAGTTGTATTTATCATGTCGCATGGCACTTTAAATTTTTTCTGTACTTCGGACCATCAACAAATCTCAGTACGAGACACTATTCGGAATTTTGCTGATAGTATCATTTGGAAAGAAAAACCAAGACTTATTTTCATTCAAGCCTGTTGGAAAATTGAGCCAGAGAGTACAACAGACGAACTAACTGAAAACGATTTATCATCAAATATGTTAGTAGTATTTTCTTGTGACGAAGACAAAAAGTCAAAACGACACCCCGAAGTTGGAGGACGGTATATACAAATATTATGTCTCCTGATTTATCTTTATGGCGACAGGTTTGTTTATGTAAAATATATAGCTTAGACCAGAGATGCAAAAGAACCAGGCGATCGGACGCCAGCTCCCGTCCGATCCGATCGAGACTTCTCAACTGGTCGGTCTGACCTGGTTCGGTTCGGTACCGGTCAGATTATAATTCGAAAATGTGACAACAAGAAAATATTTAAGTGACCGGCCGGTCCGATCTGCAAATGCCTGACCGGTACCGATCACAGTTTTGTTGACCAGTTGCATCTCTGAGTTGGTGTAGCCCAAAAAGAAGGTTAGATCGTAGAATATACCCAGATGTCAACTTACTGCATTTTAACTAACACTATCATTCTCTTTATCTCACAGCCTTCCAGTTGATCAAATTCTGTAAAGAATCACAATACATTTCAATGATGCTAATGAAAAATTGAAAGTACTCTACCCAACAATGTTGGCTGACCAAAATCTTGACCAAAATCCACATTATCTGAATCGTCTAAAAGACAAGTTTTATTTTTCACCTAACGCTTTGATTGAAAAAGTTTAACAATCAGCACAATTTGAAGAGTCAGACTTACGAACAACATTAAGCTTTTTTTACAAAATTCTTAAACAAAACATATTTGATAAAAACGATTTATAAGGCTGCCGGGAGCTCTGCATCTTTTAAAGGTTTCAGCCGTAGGTAAAAAATGGTTAATAATGGCGTCACAGACTATCCGTATTTTTTTGTCCTGCCAGGATCAACGTAATGTAGCTCAGCCCAGTTATGACTTATACTTGCAGCGGTTGCTTTGGATTCGTGCTTGCTTGTAGTCTGAGAAAAAATTTTTGAAAGTTGATTGATCAGGAAAGTAAGCTTTTCACTATTTTTGATTTTTTGATACTGAGCAAATGTGTACTAATTTAGTGCTATAGATCAATAGACAGAATTCCTCAAGGGCTACAAAACTGTATGTTTGGAATATTTTTTGACTATTAATGTACGGAGAAAATTATCAAACTTCGATAGATTGCCAGATATAATGCTAGGTAAACCATAGTATTTTGACTTGATCGAGATTCTTCAACTACACAACAGAGGTCATTCATGTACCATTCGATAGGTTTTGAAAACCTCTATAAATCTGTATACCGTTCTCCAAATTTAGAATAGGACTAGTATACGGAAAAGTTGAATTAAGACATTCAAGTATCACTTAAGGCATGTTATCGGTCCAATTCATCCAAAAAATTAAATTAATTCCTCTCTCAGATAAATCCTATAAACATGGATCTGATGTAGTTTTTTTGTCCGGGATTAACCTAGTGTATTTTTAGACCCTATTTTTTTTCACACTACCTGCTAGTCTTTGGGGCTTGACAAAGACAGAGTAAGATACTAAAGTGTCTTATAGTTTATCATTAAAATTCTCTTATTTGATAGATTTCATATATAATGCTGCTGGTCTTCAGTATTTTACATCCACGCTCACTATCCACATTTATAAAGTTTCGTTTTGTCCCCTATTAGAAAAAATCGGCTTGTTCTTTTCTGTTCTGTCTGCGTGGACACGTAATTGCACAACAAAGTTACAAGAGAAAAAGTGTGAGAAAAGTCGGAGTATACATATTCAAAACATATTCGACAACAACATGTAACACATAACAGTCGTTCGTAATGGTTTCTTCTTCGAAAAAACAACCTGTTGTACGGCGAATGAGGCGACGTGTTTCTTACCGTAAACTCTTGGCTCCAACTATTCAATGGTGGAATCCGGAAAACAAAAGAAGCAAAGCGCAAGCACGTTGCTTATCATCAACTGGGTACAACGATTCGGCAACTGTGGAGCTGGACCTTACTTAAAATACGGCAAAGAATGCATAAGAAGAGCGTTGAAGAGGGCTGTGGTGTCTGATCTGCTCAAATAAATAAGAGGATCCTTCCTTCTGAAAAGGTGTTCTGTCAAGCAACAGAAGCGAAAGACGAAACGGCTGTCGACAAAAAAGTTGGATGAAAATGAAAAGTTTTTGTTTAGCCTTTTACGTGTTTTTGTTGTGAATAAAGAATGAATGAGTTGAGCGTACTTTGCTTCATTTCTGTAAAGCACAATCTGAGCTGGGTTGACTGATTTCAAAGAAGAGATGGTTTCTTATTAACCCTTAGGTGAGTTTTATTTCATTTATGGATCAATCATAAAAACAATCAACTTCTCCTAATGGAAGAAGGTTTTGAAAATAAACGTTTCAACGTAAACTATCCTAGTTGCTCCTTACGTTCTTCCCAAATGCAATCTTTTATGCATAGTGCTGGGTACTAGGCTGTCTAGCGAAGTACTGTGTCGTACTGCCAAGTACCAATCGTACTGCTGAGCACTATGTCATCTTGCTGAGCACCATATCATCCTTCCGAGCACTATGTCATACTGTCGGGCACCACGTTTTATTGAAAGTTATAATTATTTCCAAAATTAATTAGGTAAATTAAGATTTGGTTTGAAATTCCTTTCCGACTTTCGACCCGGGCCGAAAGTCATGTAACCCAAAATTTTTATGTGCATTCAATTTTATACATACAGTTCAACAGACACAATTTAAGAGGAATTTGTTTTTTTCTTCCTTTCACGGCTGTTAGCACTAATAGTTCGAACTCTCTTTTAATATCATCAATCCATGGTTTCTTAGTTGGCATAGAGAATTCTTTATTATTCATTTCTTCTGATATTTTTATCGCAGACGATATAACAAATTAAAGTTAGTATTTACTGCTTGCTGTTAAAGATTACGGGAACAAAATAGGTGAATTTCACTAATATTATATTGTTATTATCATATTATTATTTCTGACGAGCACAGAGACTGATCATTAAACTCACCTGTGCGGAAAGTATCTTGCTTAGTCTCATAATAAATAACGCTTTGTGGACTAATAAAAGTTGAAAACAAAATCTAGGAGATCTTAGTTATTTGGTATACATATAGGTAAAGGAGAAACAACAATTTTTTTGAACAATAAGAAAATTCTTGTTTTGATTAGACTAAACCCAAGCACGAAAAAAAATCATGAAGCGGGCGCTGCATCTAGATTAAAAGGTCATTTATCTAGCTTCAGCTAGATCCAGTGAAATACATGAAAATTTGATATAGCTTCAGCTAGATTGAATCTAGCTTCAACTGGGTACAACTAGTTACTATCGATTAATCGAGCAATTCATTGCGCTATTAATTGACCAATGCAGCGGCCGTTTCAGCTAGTACACGATTTCAATCAGTATGTAGCTAGATAAATGTACCTTTTAATCTAGTTAATCTAGCTGTAAGTGGGCGCTGCAGCTATTTTTGCAGCTAGATTTTCTCGCTTACTCAGTTTTGCTTGGGAATGTTAGTATCTTCGAATGGTTGTGCGACAGTTATGTTATTATTATTAAGGATAGCTCGTCTCTTTTTTGATTTCAAAATCTTTACAAACCGAGAGTTAAAATCAAAAACGCTTAAATAAAGTAGAACGTGACGTAGGCTCTAAGGTATCTGTGCTAAAAATTTCAGCTCATCCGTTTTGTCGAGCAGCGAGTTGGATTGAAGAGACTTTGAAAAAACACATAGTGAGAAAAATGAATGGAAATTACATTTTGTACACACGGCATTTTTTCAGGTCATTTTAAAATTTTTTGCAAGAAAAGATAGAGTGATACCCTTAATTTGATTTATGCTCATTTAAACCGATGTCGCCGCTTGTTGTTGACGCTGGATATGCCGCTTGGTTTCCACTTGTATGATATCTCGTTAAAGCTGATTCGGTAATGCGGCATTTAAACTGAGGAGGAATTATCTTCGATATGTCACCAAGATTAACCAAGCATTTAATGTAAGGCGCGCGTAATTCAAGAATCAAGTAGTATTTTATTTTTAGCTTCTTTATATATAATTCGATAGAGAATTTGAAGCTGATCACCAATATCGCCTTTTTAGCCTTCCCAATGCAGGTTTGCGCATCGAAAATTTGAAAATACGGGAAGGATCATAAAATCCGAAAAACTTTCCCGTTTCGGAAAAAGTTGAATACTTTTTGTTTCTTATATTTTGAAACTCTCAAATAACATTTTTCTAATTCAGCGTTGAAAATTGAATTGCAAAATGTGTTTTTGATGCGAATTCGTCTTTACATGGTGATGGTAATGTTCGGCAAACACAAATGTCCCTCTTCTTTCTCATAATGCGCAGTGAATACGATGCTATACTTAAATGGTCATTTAATTTTAAAGTGACATTTTATTTATTTGATCAGTCAGGACAACAGAGACACATTATCGACTCGTACCGCCCCGATATAAAATAGAATAGTTTTCAGCGTCCTCGTAGTGAAATCAACATTGCTAGCGGCACACCAAAATTTTTTCCATTGCAAATGATCTTACGAGATGATAATAGTTACGCCAAAGATGATACAATGTAAGGCGCGCGTAGTTCAAGAATCAAGTAGTATTTTATTTTTAGCTTCTTTATATATAATTCGATAGAGAATTTGAAGCTGATCACCAATATCGCCTTTTTAGCCTTCCCAATGCAGGTTTGCGCATCGAAAATTTGAAAATACGGGAAGGATCATAAAATCCGAAAAACTTTCCCGTTTCGGAAAAAGTTGAATACTTTTTGTTTCTTTTATTTTGAAACTCTCAAATAACATTTTTCTAAT